TTTCTGCTTGGGTTGCAGGAGTCATTGCCGTTTTTCCTGTTTCACATAAATTCTATATCATGTCGTAACATTGTTTACGGAGCGGTGTGGTAGCCCAGTAGGTAACGTGTTCACTCGTCACGCCGAGGGTCCGAGTTCTTTTCCCCACATGGCCACAATGTGCAAACCCAAATCTCATTAGATCAGATCTAGGTTCTCGCTATCGCTTTGTTTAGCGATAGCGAGAACTAAGATCTGATTTTAATGAGATTGTGCGAACCCCGTCATATTGCTTGAATATAGTAAAAGCTGCGTAGGTCCATACTCACTAACTTTGTTTACCCCACTTCGTTCACCCATTCCTTACACTGACTTTGTCATGTTATTATTCTTATGCTTGCATAGTATATCAGTAAATAATACATGTAATATTTGTGATTTGTGTATTTATAACATCGTGTGATGTCGTTTCTTTTGCCATCATGACATGCACGCGGGCAGTTGGAAGTAAGATGTTCTATTGTCAAATAGATCCTGCACCATGACTGTGGAATATCTGCATTTAATATAAATTAAATTTAATTAAATTGATATCTGGATTTTAATTCAAATTAAATGAAATATAATATAGTTACTCATTTGTTTAGGATTATATTGGAAAATAACAAAAGCATAAATTTTGTTGAGTGAGTTAGGGGTTTAACGCCGCTTTTAGCAATATTCCAGCACTATCATCTTGGGGTACACCAGTAATGGGCTCCCCACATAGTACCCATGTGGGGGATCGGTACGGGCCTTCGGCGTGACGAGCGAAAGCTTTAAACACTAGGCTACCCCACTACCCTTAATTACGATGACTTAAAATACAACCAGCAATAGAACTTATACTGTTTTAATGGCGTAAGATTCAAGCACCTCATTCATAAGCTCAGGCTTTATAAACAACAGTTGAAAAAACGACCGGCTCTTCGCGACATTTCTGCGAACTTTCATACAAGAAATCTTAAAGGAGTACTTGGCTCGGGGGAGTGTGTGTGAGTGTGTGTTGGGGAAGAGAGAGAGGGGGGGGTTGGAGTCTTCACAAGCAAATTACGTTAAACAGGCAACATTCTGCGGAGCATACATCCTAGACTAACACTTAGTCAATGAAAACATGTCTTTAAAATAATAAAAATATGTTTTCGTTCTGCTGTTTTAATCAAGCAAACTAGACTTGATTAGTTTGATGTAGACTTGCCTAGGCTTTTAGTAAAATACATACCTTAAAAACATAATTTCCACAGTCATGATGCAGGACTACATACATCCCTCAAATCCCTAAGACCCCTGTAATGTAGTTGCTGAGAACAGTAACATAATCTGTCTACTTAAAACATAACGGCATTGAGGTAATCATTTGACACACATCTAAACACAATCTGGATACCCCAGGCTACTGATGCTAGACTTATAGCAGTCAATGGTATGTTGAAGTAACAAACTTCAATTAAGCACATCCACACACCCCACACGGGGCGGTCGGGTAGCCTAGTGGTTAAAGCGTTCGCTCGTCACGCCGAAGACCGGGGTTCGAATCCCGACATGGGTACAATGTGTGAAGCCCATTTCTGGTGTCCCCCGCCGTGATATTGCTGGAATATTGCTAAAAGCGGCGTAAAACCAAACTCACTCACTCACTCACTCACACCCCACACCCTACTTTCCAGACCCCACCCCCTAGCGTGACCCCCATCACTGCTATTCCCCGCTCACCGCAAGAGGACACCACTCTGCAGTAGGTGAATCTAGTATTTCCACCGTGCATCCGCTCATCGCACCAATTACCCAGCGTCTTAATGGTTGGCACATTGAAATAAATGACACAATGTGCTATTTGTTTACCTTTTACCATCCAGGCATGATATGCCGAGCGAGCAAGGATGGGGCGATATCTCCTTATATCCCGTTAGAATACCATGCTAACAGCAATATCTTTACCGGCTCATTCTGATTGCATACGTCTCTCGATGACGCAACACAGTGGCATACGGAATGAGGCAGCACTACATGGCCATTGCATGCCTTGGCAGGCTTATCTAATGCTACAATGTTACAAGTATAATTCGCCATTTCAGTATCAAGAACACGTGTTTCTTAATAGAATCCAAAAATATCCGTAAGGTAAGAGGCAGAGTTACCGTACACTTAATAAAAAGCGATACTGGTGCGCTGACACTCGCGTATAAATGTACCAGAACCTTTTACGAAACGTCGCATTGAAAGAATAAAGAAGTTGAATCCAATTCGTCATTGATACTTCTGTTTCTAAATTGTATTTAAAAATATCTAAAATCGTTATAAAGACATGAAAATTGTTTCGAAAGTGCAAAGATCACTTCGCGCTTTGATAATGGAAACTTCACATTGCATCTGAAACGTCTTTTCCATAACGTCTAGCAATATGGCGCCAATGTGACACGGTACCATAACTACACCTTCTACGGAAGCAGTGCCCTTGCTAGAGAGTGCTCTCTGTCCTTTTGTGTATCGCAAATTTCACATACGAACAAATGGTCTTAAACAGAGAACTACAGAGAAACCTGGTTAACTCGAACTTTCTATGTCGTTATACTTTTTGTCACTGTATCTGCAGTGAGATCTAATATCGGTACGCCTACACCGAAACCTGGTTAACACGAACTCTGATATGTTATCTCGACATATAATTTAAGACGCCCTGAATCTAGTATCGGTACGCCTCCAGTGAAATCTGGTTAACACGAACTCTGTTATCGCGATACATCGTGTTTTGCATTATCGACATTGTGGTCTAATATAAGACCATCAACAGCGAAACTGAGTCACAAAGATTCTGTTATCTCGACATATCATAAGAGACGCATGTGGCCTAATATCGGTACTACTACAGTGTAACCTATTCAACTCGAAGTCGGTTATCTCGACATATAGACAAAGACGCCTTCTCTACAGTGTTGTCTAATATTGGTACCCCTACATTGTAACCAATTTGATACGAATTACATTATCTCGAGATATCGTTGATATGCCATGATTATGTATCGTCCGGGTAGAATAATTATCGAGGCCATGGTCTAACATCGGCACTCCGCTTGTCTCGAACTACGGGTAAGACGACATACATCCGGTGGTACTCGGGACTTCAGATACAACAGGCAGTAGTGTACACCTCAATCAATTCACCATTATCCATAATCATCATTAACGTCATGTACAAGTGTCGCAACAAACACTAAATAAAATATATTGAGTTAATTTACGTGGAGTATGTATTGACCTTACAGCCTGCCTTTGGAAATAACAAGAAATCATGAAATGGATATCAAAAATAAGTTGAGATGAAAAAATATGTTTGTTGTATTATTGTATATTTCATTTGAAAATATAATTCATATCAACTGAAGCATATATAACCGCATCGCAATCATAACTAACTTGGCTCAAAGTGGACAATATATAGGGGACACCACTTCCTGCGCGTCTTATGTATCCACCAGGTGAATATAAAAGCTTATATGCCATCACAAACACAAACGTAGACACCGGGTGTTCGAGAGACTTCAAAGAAAAACGTAAGGAGAATCAAAGTTATTTTTTGTGAAAGACACAATTAATGTAATTATAAGATAGCTTAAAGATATCAAAAAGTGCAAATGTTGATGTTTCAAAAAGAAAATCTTGTTTTAAATTTTTTGATTCCGAGCTGTATCGGGGGAGTAAACCCATCCGTATGTTTTCGCGGAGTGACCTTTAGATTTGACCTGACCTGGCCTAGTTTTGCAAATGTCACCACATACGGTTTGCACATGTGACCTACAGGTATATCTCAAATATACAAAATCTGTAATTTTTTTAGAACAATCCTTCTCAACTGTTATAAATACTGTTTTAATGAGTTTTACTTGTAAATAACTACCCAATAGACCGAGTGTTACATACGGTTTATAAAAATAAATTAAAAAATAAAACAACTAGTTCTAAAAATATATATTTGTAAATAAGAAACTACGCAGCGATTCATCTTAAAATAATACAATATATGTAAAACTGTGCAACATACATATTTGGTTATAATTGAATCATATCAATTTTAATTAAAAAATATGTTCAATGTTTATATTCTATTTAGCAAAATTGGATTTACTTAAACTTAAGTATTTAACTTGACATTTCACTTGAGAAGAAAAAAATCGTGATTAATGCTCCTGACGCGAGTAGAGTGCCCGGATGGATCCAGTGGCAGAAAGGTGTGAGATGGCATTTATGAGTGAAAATAAATCCCCGTCTCCCCGTCAGACAGTTATCAGATGAAAGAGTAACTCAGGGTACTACCCATCGTTTGCCAGTACCCCATAAGGCTGTGATTACCCCACTTTGTAAGACAAGAAAAGCTGCCATATCCCAAGATCGTACACAGATACTGATCTACCTACTGTCAATATCTGAAAGGTCGTCCAATGTCTTAGTGGGTCATCTGCTACAAAGCGGCAGCTTGGTCCTACCTTCCAATTTGCCAGACTTACAGACGGCAGCAAATAATTGCCCCACAGTGTTTCGAATATTCTACAACTCGTGGCGCTAGGCCGTCTGATGTACCCATAAAGCAGCGATTGAACAGGTGTTATGTTACTGCCACATTCAGAAAGCGCTACCTGTTTAAATATATCTTTCCACTTTTTCTTCATAAACATATATGATATCAAGTTGATCAGTTGACCATACTCCTGTCCGGTTAAAAAATGAAGGTCAAAGCATGACGGATGACCTTCCATCACAGGTGAGCACTTACCTGCAACCGGAACGCGGAACTCGGGAAAATTGGAAATGAGGCTGAGAGTTTTCTACTAATCCGGGAACAACACACGTATGTTGACGGGATTTTCCGTCGCTCATTAAGCTTTGCACACCGAGACGTCTGCTACTATAAAAGGTAAGGGGGTTTGTATTCTGTACACGTTCACCTCACTTGCGCACACGGGTAGCAGACGAATGGATGCACTTACCCTTTGCACGATCAGGGCTTGATTCAGGTCCTTCCCACCCTGAAGCCGAAAGCCCCACGGAGTGTTGAAGGAATCTCTGAAGAGTCGAACCTGGAATTTGCTAAAGCCCGTCATTTTGTCTTTCCACTACGCCATCATTGAGGTGAATCGGTCGGCTGCAGGCGACAACTCGCGCCACAACGGTGATTGGTACCTAGCGATAGTCTCAGGCCGAAATCAGCCGAGATACCTCCGCCACTTTTCAGAGCGAGGCACAGACACTCGGAGAAATGGAATCTCGCGAATGCCACTATCCTCTGATGAAGAAAGCTCGGAGCTCGGGAAGATGTTCCTGAGCCAAATATACTTCACTAGTGACGTGGAGGGGGAAGGGATCGGATGTCTTACCATCTCCCAACTACCGCGCTGCGCTCGGTTCGGCATTGCCCAATTTAGAAAGTGTGCCCACGTGGTAGTGAAGGGAACATGAGCGCTGCAACACTGAGCACGCACCATGCGGGCCGCTACATGTGCAGTTTGGCGATAGTCAGATAGGATCTGTTTATGTCATTTACTTTTTACTATTTCGAAATTTGCGGCAACAACGGCTAAGCCTGAAGAGCAGAATTTGAAACCTGAGCTTTGTAAGATCTTGTAACATCTGCCCCAGGCAGATAAACAGTGTTTAACAGGTTACAAGCGGAGTGGAGATAGGTAATGTTATACCTATACCCCCCGTGTCCCCCTCCTCCCCCGCCACCACCACCCACACATGTGTCTTTGACAAAGATGTGCAGCTCATGCAAGGTGCTGAGAACGATGAACCGCGTGTATCTACAAACGGTCGATGTAAAAGATGCATAACAAGGAATTTTCAATTAAAATAGCACATATTGCAAGGTGACCGTATTGTTGCCATGTCTGCGTTTTCTTGTTGCTGTTGCAAATGACCATGGCCAACTTCAGCAGGCTAATTTCTGCATATATGTCAGGTCAGGAATTTTGCCAGAATCAGTATATTTACACATATATTGTTGTATAGCGGTGGACACACGATTTCTGGCACGGGCTCGTCTTGAGAGTCTTTTTGTATCTTCATCTTCAGAACTTCAAGATCGGCGGAAACAATACAAAAAGAATGTTAGCACGTAGAACCAGTTAAGCCTGGAAGATGGCAGGTATTCCTCGTGTCTGGGGCTTCTTTAAGTTCAAAAGTGAGAGAGTGAATGTTGTTTAACGTCAGTAATGTAAGCGTTATCACAACGGCCTGTATATAATCGCGTCTGGACCTGGCAAACCCGTGGCTGAAAGCATGAGCACCGATACAAATGTAAAAATTTAAAAATGCAGCAAAGAAGGTTTGGGTGTTCCTGGGACAGTCAGGCTCATCATCAGCTCAGGGCCCTTGCCCCCTCTACACGCAGCCCAGACAGCGAATGGGACTTGTCAAACCCACCCAGGACTTTTCGATGAATGTGAAGACTCCGCCACACTGCATTACCCAGATTGTCAGAAGGGCTGTATTCCGGGTAGCAAACCCGGGTATTCCCCCATGTCAGTCAACAGATTGGAGGTACTAAACCTGAGGCACCGAGAACAATGAGGAGTCGGACAACATGATGGTACTTGGTATGCAAGCGTGACATTTCGAAAGCGAGGTCCGCATATTTGCCATGTTTTTCCTGAATCTTGTCAATCACATTAGTGTCAAAAGGGACAGAAAATTCAATGATATAAATGATTTCATTGGATTTATCAAAAAGGACAAGTTCAGGTTTGTTGGCCTGGATAGGCCTGAGACTGTTTCCATGACGCCCTCTATATATTCTGGGTCGTACCATGGATGGACCTCTGTGTCAAAACCACAAGCATGGCGAAGACGATAATAAAATGATCGAGCCACTCCATCATGTCGCTTTAGATACTGTGTTTGTGCCAAAGCTTGGCAACCACTGAAAATGTGTTGGAACGCCTCATTTAATTCATTGCATAATTAACTTGGACTTCATCCTAGCGAAGGACTCTGCGGGGTTGCTGACCCTCTCAACACACTACACATATACTCGATGCAGATGTCGTTCAGAAAGCCTGTCTGGGCCGATTTGATATCATGGCTCTTCGCTTGGTTGACACTCATGTCTGTAGCGTCCAGCAGTACAGAACCATCAACAAAATCAACATTGACATTGAGATTATTGCCCACACCCTTGGCTCGTTTCAGAAAACATATAGTTATAACACCAAGATGATTATTACTATTATTGTTGTTGTTGTTGTTGTTATTGTTATTGTTGTTATTATTATTGTTGTTGTTGTTGTCCATTCCACAAAACGCATGCGGTAAATACACATCGGGTTATCGGTAGTTCGAGACAAGCGGAGTTTCCAAAATTGGGACACTTGCACTGAAGAACAAAAAAAGTAATACTAAGTTAACAGCTACTGGAATTGTAACAGGCATTCCAAATTTTGCGAATATTGTATTTTATTTCTCGATTGAATAAAATATGTTTGATTAAAAGTAATGGTTGTACCATAATGTTATGTTAATGTTCGTCGAGTGAATGGAGTACGAGATATCGATGTTTGGTCCAACGTCTAACTGATGCTGACAATATGCTACAGTGTCATTTCGTAAAAAGAGAAACTAATAATTACTCCATTTATGTTTATTAGTGGAACTGACACTTTCTCAAACGCATGGTTTCCATTCTAGCTGACGTAAAGCTAAACCTTTTTCCTATTCCTCAAGGTAAAAATAGCGTCAAACCTCTTTAACATGTGGGCCCATCATTGTGTAATGTGCTAATGGAAAGCGGCTTTACCTCTGAGTGATATGTATTAAGCATGCGATAAGTAACTTGTATTGACACTTGTTTACTATCGATGACATATGTTGTTTCCTTGCTTAATCACGTATGTGTTACACAAGCCGTTAATGCAGAGATTATAAATAATATGTAATATAAATACTGAATACACTGTATGAACATAGCATACTTAATAACCAAGGAGAGAGTGAGAGAGACATGACAAATGTTTAATGTCTAACGTATGAATCATCCATTTCTTGAGAGTACTGGGCTGTTTCCGATGACTTTTGTATTTACTTGATATTTCCACCTAAGTCTGGCGTCTAAGACAAAAACCGATTCTCTGCTTCCAGAAACTTCTCAACGGAGAATCACAGCATTTCCTGTATCAAGGAACGTTTAGAACACTTCGCTTCGCGTACACACAAACACGATAACCTTCACGTTCTCGTTTAGTTTTTTACGACTTTTAAAACGGTGTTAAACACGTTCAAGACTCCTCATAAAAAGAGAATCTATTTCAAGAATACTGTGTATCTGTATCATTGGGATGTTCTGATTTATGTTTTCAATGACGTAACTTTGAGACGTTTCTTGACTGTTAAGTCATTTTCCCAATGTAGTGCATATTGAGAATACTCACATGTTCCCTGACCCACCGATTCTACGAATACCAGCTCCCCGGGAAATACCGTCATTGACAATTTTACCCCTTTGGATAACTAGTGTAATAAATACCGTAAGTGTATATTTGTATATACACAACTCAGTCTGCTATATCGTATATATACACGTTTACAATGTCAGTTATGCTATTGATATATGAGAGCAGATTATTCGTGCAACCCGATAAAGGCCCTTCACTTGGCCTTGGGGAATAACAAGTGTAAAAACAGGCCCTCAGAAACGAGGTGAGGGGAAATGGGGTTTAACGTCGCGTCCAAGATTATTGCACTTATAAAGCTTATAAAGCGCGCGCGCGCGCGCGTGTGTGTGTGTGTGTGTTAGGGGGAGAGGGAGGGGGGCTGCTTGAACTTGTCCGGACTGATGCCGTTTTTACAGTGATATCCCACTGAGATACCATGCCGCAGTTTCAGATGAAAACTCCACTCATGAACAGTATACCGACTCAGAGCCGACCAGTCCTTGTTTTAGCCCCTTCATGCCGAACGCCAGGCAGGGTAACAACAAGTACCATCTTTCAAAATCTTTTGGTATGACGCGGCCGGGGATCAAACCCCGGACCTTCCGCTCTACCACTAGACCACGGAGGCGGTCCTCTAGAAACGAATGAAACATGATGACGACATTTATCGAGAAACAAAATACATCAATATTCGCAAATTGCAATGAATATTCAACTTGTATCAATCTGTTTTTATATGAATATCATACCCGTGAAGATCCGGGATGGAGTAGGTCTTCAGCAACCCATGCTTGCCTTAAAAGGCGACTATGCATGTCGTAGGAGGCGACTAACGGGATCGGGTGGTCATGCTCTCTGACTTGGTTGAGGCATGTCATCGTATTAGAATTGCGTAGATCGATGCTCATGATGTCCATCACTGTCTGGTCCAGACTCGATTATTCACAGATTACCATCATTTAGCTGGGATATTGCAGAGTGCGGCGTTAAACAACTGTTATATCATATCAAAGTCCACTCTCATCTGTCATATTCTATCAAAGTCCACTCTTATCTGTCATATTCTATCAAAGTCAACTCTTATCTGTCATATTATATCAAAGTCAACTCTTATTTATGTGATGTTAAAACAAAGTTCAATCCAATCGTTTTCATCATGAATCAAAGTTCACTCATATCTCTGCCACAATGAATCAAACAAAGTTCACCCGTGTCTGTCATGTTGAATCAAAATAAAGTCCACTCGAATCTCTGCCACACTGAACCCAGCCCAGTCAAGACGCACATACTAAGGAATCACGGCAAATAAGTGTTGGCGAGACAGGAAGCCTGCAATGCCCAATCTGCAGCACCTGTCGTCAAAGTCACAACATATCTGGCAACTGCGAATTCTAGGATCGTCCAAGACGCCGGTCTCGCCTCATCCTAGTAACTTGAACATTTCATTCAGTTCAGAGATTCTGTTTAATTACAATAACCCGATTACTATACGATAATGCGCCTAGCGCTAGTGGATGTATCTAGGTTTACAGGAGGTAAATCAATGCGGTTTATTTCATTACTGGTTGAGCATCATCAACTCGATGAATGTGAGTGCAAGGATATTGCACGTGTACTACAACTTGGAATTGTCTTTTAGATCAAAGTACTGATTTACATGTAACTATATATATATAGTTATAATTAAATAAGTGGAGTAAGATTGAACACAGTTTTAATTGGCTAGCGCTTTCAACTCGTACCACGTACGAGTCTCATCATATCGAGGCCATAACTGAATATCGGACATGAATATATATATGTGTGTGTGTGTGTGTGTGTGTGTGTGTGTGTGTGTGTGTGTGTGTGCGTGTGCGTGTGTGTGTGCGTG